TTTTGTGTGGCTCTATGTCTATGAATTTAGATCGGAAAGTAAATAGGGATATTAAAGGTTGGATATATCAATTATTCATAATTAAAAGTATCATATGGTTTAGCAAATAGAATAGCAGTTTGGCTTCGTATGGTCATGTGATGCTATATAGATAGATGGAGGCTAGTGTTCTCCAGCAAAAAATGCTTCTTCTTCACGCATAGACAAGAAAACAACACAGCACGTTCACTTGCTCGTTTTAGTGCTTGTTATAGGATGTTTTGCCCATGGTTATCGTATTGTCATATTTGCATTATTAAGAACATCGAAGCAAATGTAACCTCCCTTTGAAGTTAGTATATTTCTAATTCTTCATTAAAAGAAAAAAAATGGGTAGCTCATTTTACTAAATGAGCTATCAAGAGATATATAGCTATGTGATGAGACCAATATTGCTATTCACACTAAAAGGCGAGGATCTTGCCACTCTATTTATTGATAGCTCATTTAGCAAGATGAGCCACCACCTGATACCGATCATTCCCTTAAAAAAAATAGAAGTTTCAATCGTAGGAAATTACATAAAAGGATAGTAATGGGGCATCACATGTCATACAAGAGAATTCCTTCATAGACAATGACAACCAAATGTTAATATGAGGTGTCCTCTCCTACTTCATTCACTTAGTGAAAATTAAGCCACATGCACCATCATTATTTAACGAAAGAATCCTCTCACGTGAGAGTGATACTCATTATTCTCATATAGTAAAGTAAATCCATAATTTAAGCAATTCTACGGGAATACGATATTGAACAGTCGGTTACCGTCTATATTCACAAAAAAAAAGGGAGACAAGAAGTAACAACCAACAACAGTACTTTCAGGGTTAAACACTTAAACTCGGGCACTGGTACAAGCCAAATTTGGTTCGGTTCTATATGTGTATCCAAGAACGAACGTAGAGCTGCCAATAGTAGCGAACATATATAAGCTTAAAAATTTTAACCCCTCGTGTCCTAGTTCATGCATATAGTCTTAGACAAGTCAAAATATTATCAGAAGCAATGGTCAAGAGTTCACCATACTTGCCAAAATTACAGCCTTTTCAACCGTACATACATACGCACGCTCTCTACACGTCACCGCTTATGTAGCGGAGCAGACCATTCTCGGAGCAATCCATAACGAAAAAGAAGAATTTTTTTAAATAAACCCATCCACGCTTTTTTTTAAAAAAATCGGTCCTTTTGAGTTTTTTCACAAAAATCCGACATAATTTCTCGTCACGTCAGCATCGTGACGAAAAAGTGGATCGATTTTTTAATCCGGTTCTTAAATAGTCAGGATTAAAATTTTTTTGAATAAGTTTATTTAGAAAATTTCTTCAAACCAGAAAAACCTCTCCGTTCGGGGATCGACACGCATCCGCTAGGAGCTCAGACGACGGGATATGTTGGGCCCCACGAGGATACTGGGCGAGAAAAGGGCGTACGTGGCTGCATATTGGTGGACGATGGCGAAGTTCTTGGCATGTGGATCCGGTGTTGGGTGGATAGAGAGCAAGCGGGTAGATGGGAAAATAGGAGACAAGGGTTTGTTAATTATGTGGTGCTTGCAAATGCAATGGATTGCAGGCGCGGTCCAATCAGTCACATCAACTCCCGTCAGCTCATGAGCCCGAGAGCTCTCTACGAATCTTAATAAAATGAAATCTCTAGAGAAAGCAGCTGCAGACGGTTGTTATGAGCTCTGAGCTGTCCCTGAGGTGGGTAGTTTCCTTTGCGCGCGAGAACCTCACGTGAAACTGCGAGCATATTTCTCCTATCTGGAGTCCGGAAGATTTGCGATATTTGTGTCCCTCGCGGCTCGCGAGGTTGTGATGCAAAATGGGTGCGAAACCAAGTGTTTAAAAATTGACCGTGTTCACGACTTTGATATTTAAAAATGCTACTCCTTTTATATATAAGTTACTGGTGTGCACCCTGTGCAAAACACGGCCCCATTTTTTTATTTTCGGCACCGTAATTCTGTTTCAAATGCTACAGTATTTTTAAGTGCTACGGTGATTTTTTTAAATACTACAGTATCCCGACTGTGCTGCAGTAATAATAATACAGTAATATTTTTAAGTGCTACAGTTCTCGTCCATGGTACAGTGATAATGCTACAGTAAATTATTGTATCATAAATAATAAATCTTTAAGTTCTCCTATTATTATAGAAGAATATATGTCAAAATGATAGTTAGGTTCAAAATTTGTCGGCGTTCGTTTTTTCGGCGAGAACTGTCTGAAAAATTCCTTCCTGCCTCTTGACATCTTAAATCAATTGTATTTTACGCTCTTCTTCTCGTTCAACTCCCAACCTCAAATTTCTTCTGTACATTGCACACCCAATAAGATTCTTCTTTACCATCTGGTTCTTTTTCGTCAATATAGCCCCCTTCTTCTCCCTTAACTGCCCCTTATATGATCCATCTCTTGCTTAGATTAAGTTTTGGATTTTAATTTCGAACTAGGGTTTGAGGTTGAATTGGGAAAGTTAAAGGATGAGGGACCGGAGAGAAAGGGTGAAAGAGGGTTTTATTGGGTAAAATGGTAGAAAAAAAATTTTGAGTTTGGAGGAGGTTGAAGGAGAAAAAAGTGTAAATTATAATAAATTTAAGAGTTCATCGGGTGGAAAAATTTTCCCAGCACTTCTCGTCGGGAAAAAAATGAACCCTGGTGAGTTTTTGTACATAATTGCTGGTTTTACATACTTTAAATACTAAAAAGATGCTAGAGCGTTGTTAAAGACCAAAGTGGTAAACATGGTATATTTTAAATACCAATTTGAGAGTTCAGCCATGTAAAATGTATTGAAAAAAAGTATTTTACATTGCATTGTGTTGCAAAGAAGAAGTTTATTTTGGGGAAAATTCTGTCTAGACCTTAAAATTAAAAGTCCCATGTGCTTCAGTCTCTCCCCCTAAAATCCCAACCGCTAAAATCCCAACCGCTCACCATGACTTCCTCTTGCTACTTCTCTGCCTTCCTCTTCCCCTTTCTTCTTGTTCCTCCTCCTCCCTTTCCCCCTTTCTTCTTCCCTCTTCTCTCTCCTCTCTAACTGCCCACCATTACTTCCTCTTCCTTCTCCTTCTTCTCCCCCTTCTCATCCTCTCTTGCTCCCTTTCTCCGTCTCCATCTTTTTATCTATAGCTATCCATCATGACTTTCTTGCTCCTCCTCTCACTTTCCCTTCACTCTTGCTCCTCTTTCTTCTCCTTCTCTTTCTCTTTCTCTATCTCTATAGCCATCCATCATGATTTTTCTTGCTCCTCCTGTTTCTCCCTCTTTCTCTTCCCTCTTACTCATCTCTCTCTCTCTCTGCGCGCGCGCGCAAACCCATCAATTTGATCTGCTTCGTCCAAACCCTTTCCTTCCTCCAACCCAATCTAAAAACTCCTCTCGTGACTACAAATAAGAATTATCCACTGACTTCGAGATCTTCTTCATTCCTTCAGAGATTAATTGCTTCAGTGTAAATTTGGTATCATGAAGATGAAGAGAGGGGCGCGTATAACTTAACATATATATATTAACTATAAGTTAGTTGTTAAATTTAACAGACAGATATTAACTATATGACTTCGATTTTAAGATTAAAATTAACATCGTATAATGTTAACCATACGTGTTAATTTTGTTGTAACTTTAGAAAATAACCATTATAACCAAAGGAGACAGTTTTTGGAGGTAGACTAGTGATCGTGCAAGGAGGAGGAGAAGATGGAGATGGAGGACTGGGGGAGGACAAATGATGGTAAAAGTGAAATCGAAAAGGATAGAGAAGAGAAGGGTATGAAAGTGGAGATGAATTGAAGGAGAGATGAGGGTGAGTGGAATAGGAAGGAGGGGCGAGGATGGAGGTGATACGGAGAAGAGAGGAGGGAGGAAAATGAGGTTAGCTAAAAGAGATAGGAAAAGAGAGGAGGATGAACAGTGGAGAGAGGAGGACAACGTCCAAGGGTAGAGGAGAAGGGAGGATGATATAGAGGAAGGAGGAGAGGAAGAAGAAGATGAAGGATAGTTTAGAGATGAGAGGAAAAACTAAGTAGATGAGGGATCTACCGCATGAAAGTTCTGTATTTGGGGCTAAAGCACATTGAAAAAAAGGTGCATGGACTGAAGCACATGAGACTTCTAACTTTGGAGCCTAGGCACAATTTTTCCACCCAAAAATACCTTTATTAAGAGTATGCATCTCTAATTAACATGTATTAATATATATAGAAGAATAAACTATGATACAATAATGTAACTAGAGGGGCCTATTTGAAAAAAGGGCAACATCAGATTTTGTGAAAATCTTTAAATAAAAAAAATCAGAATTTGAGGAAAAAAAAATCCTGAATTTAGTCGAAATATGGACTTGAGATTTTGTGAAAATCCTGAAAAAGTCTACTGTTCTTTTACTAGTGCCGTCATGCTTTTTCAAAGGCATATTTCTATGGTTTTTCTAATTTTTACCAGTAACTGAAGAAAAGGTATTCACGTATGACATAGAAGTAATAATACATATACCACCCAAGTGGATCGAGCCGAGTTGATAAGCTACCTATGAGTAGAACATCACAATTCGACTATCATGGAAAGCACTCACAGAAAATTAATCTCTTGAAATACCCGACGTGCATTAAGTGGTGTCCCTTAGCTACGCTCAGGGTTTGATACCCATGAGTTCCCTCATCAAACCCCAAAAATAAATAAAGAAATAATAAATAAAATAAAACATATACCTTGAGCAAAAACTGAATAGGTACCTTTAAACTTTCAAAGAATATTGCAAAGTTAACCCGTTGTTTCAAGCATCCAAACAACTCTAATAACTATATTATTGTAATAATTCAAATCCTATAATTTTCTATTTTCCTAAGTACGATACAACAGTTAGTATACAAATAAAACTTAAATAATGGGACAGTAGTCCGCATGGCCTTATGATCTTGTTTGAATCCACAATGCAGGACACCATGATGTTTTGTAAATAAAACAACAAATTGGGTGGGAAAAAAAACAGTTCATGTGCACGCTACAAGAAAAGCTCAAGGTACAAATTTCTCAGGAAATAAACATGAAAACAGATAATTCTTGGAAGAATGAGAAAAATGTAACAGACTAGTAAGCGAGCATCCTCCTTTTAACATCAGTTACCCATAAGTCTGAAGTACAAGCCAATTTGGAAAATTGAAATTAACATTAAGATAATAAGACAGCAGTAATAACTTACCGCCCTAACAACGAGACTCGATCCTTTTGGATTACTTGAGTAAGATTCAGATCGAAGAGTTCACACCGGATTGGCATTTCCATTTCATAGAAAGGATTCTTCAGAACATAATCAGTGTACAGCTCGTAAATTACTTTGAGCAGAGCTTCCATGTGAAGCATCCCAGGCTCACAAACTACAAAAAACTTTGTTCCTGCAGAATGCATGTAATATAAGTTTCACCATGTATGCCGCAATATAAAGCCAAACCCTAACTGAGAAGGAAGCAGATGCAACAAATATTGAACACTGCAAACCAACTCGAACAAGAGACAGGATAAGGTAAAAGGAAAATGTGAATAAGAAACCAATGTGAATAGTGATTGTATTTTTATGATAGCACTTATAATCATAGTCAAACACGCTAATATTTGATATGAATGTTACAGCTGTATTCAAAATCGATAGGCTTTACAGTGAGTACATAACACATATTCAACTATTTCTCCAATATCCATCTGCCACTTAGTCTATCTGTTATGAGACCTCTCACATTATAAATCTAAGTAGTACTCTCATTTTATCCTTCTTAAAGCAGGCCTCCCCTTTTCTGCTATGAAAACAAAGGTTCTCTACTCTCTCTTCATTACAAGATCCAAGTTTGTCCTCCACTTATTGAGTGGTCAATAAATATGCAGGAAAGCATGCAAATGAAACTACAGGCTGAATGCTTGACTTAGTGCCAGAAAGAATATAAAATGACTATATCAACCAAATGGGATTATTGAGGCTGATCAAATTGTTTACTAACATCCTCAAAAGAACAGAACTCTTTAGTGAAATGTGGTTACTATTATCCATCTCAAGCCACAAATAAAATAAAATAAGAAAGAAAAGTGCAAAGTAACTCTCAATAGCAGACACAATGTATGGTGTACTTAGTCTCCTAAGATATCTTTGAAACTAGATATGGAATTTGTCTCTAACAAACCAATGCAATCGTGTAAACACAGCTATTTTTTGTGTAAAAAAATGTATTCTATTATTATCACTGCACTAGATTAAGTTACCGTTCAATGATTAGTACACTTTACCTTAGCTAGATTCTACTTTGACCTCTAAAGATAGAAGATAAATCCAACAACATAATTCCTAGTGGAAGCTGATATACTGAATGAATCACAATTTCTATTACTATTGCATTCAAGAGAAGGCGTCGCAGATCAAGAATAAACCATGCTCATTGCAAAAGTGCAGGGTAATTATTATAGCAGGCATTCAATCGGATGAAAAGTCTAGTCTCCATCCTTTTATGAGGAAAGCCTACGCAAAATTTCATTTTAATGAAACCTGCGCTTCCTAGAGTAAGAAGCAAAAACATAGAGCTAAGGAGGGAAGAGCGAAGCAAAGTAAACTTACTACATCACAATTCATTTGAAGCTCCGCTCTTTAGAAGTTTTATATTTTTCATATGGCCTATAATTCCATTTCTACAACCAGCCTCAAATTTTTTCCTTTCCACTGGAGACAACTTTTTGGTACCATGCCATAGTTCTTAATCCCCTTTTCACCCTTGCTTTTGTGGCGTGACAGGCCAACAGGCCTCCAGTTTCGTTAATAAAACCTCTCTTCAGGATGCTGATGCAATAATATCAAACTAAATATACAATTACAACAAGCTAAATGGAATATTAGTAGAAAAGTTTTATGTATCGGAAGATAGTAAAGCTACAAGGTTCCCCGCATTACTAGACTACTAGTATTATCGTGCAGACACCTAATGAGTAATGTCAACTATATTATATTATATTTGTGGCTTGTATAACATAAAGCACTCCCTGATATGATAAGAGTAAATATTTCACCTTTCACACAATGAAAAGATGTCTAAATGGGCTCACTATCTTGTAAAAATGAGATGGATACACCTTCACAATCCTGCTTGACTATCTTAGCTGAGGTAATATTCACGTAGATTCACAGGCAGTTTCTGATTACAAATGAGATAGTTCATTCAATGTCTGCACAGGCTATTCTTAACATATAGACTTACATCTAACATTACCTATATAACTCAGGCAGGTTGGCTGGTTTAGCGGATCATGTGTGCAGACCCCCTTGGTGGAACAAACTCTCCATAATTGACTAGATCCCAGCGGACATGGGTTTAGAACATACAGACCCGAATATTATATGCCTCAAAATTTCAATTTTCCTGCTCAAGTGTTCAGGTTCAGATTCTAATCACCACCTGTCAATCGAAATTAAACAAAATGCTCAACTCTCGACAAGAGTCGTCGACTTAACTAATTCATACACATAGATAGAGAGAGAGGAGGAGGACAAAAAAGCTAAACCAGCGCTCTTAACACTTGGAACTTAGTTAAGAAATTCTTAGCAGTTCCTAATTCAACCAAACTTGGTTCGTAAAACAAAGCTAGAAATTCTTTGGTTTCTGCTTGTATATGAGGTTAAGCCAGTGAAACCAAGGGTTGTCCCAAAAGGTTTCAAGAAATTCCAAAATATGATACTAAAGCTTGTTCACTATGAAATATAGTCAATGGTTCTGAGAACTCAACTTCAGCTCTAACTTGCTTGGCATTTTTCCTACCGGAGATGCCTCTGACTCTAATAAGCCTACCTTGCTTCCACCTATCATTTTCATCTCTCTCTCTCTCTCTCCCCCCTATGATTTCTTCCTCTCTCTTCTCTCCCTCCTTTCTTCTCTTGATTGATCCCTACACCCTCTTCTTCCTTGCTCTGAGAAATGTTCTCCAAAAAGATTACAGCGTATCTCCCTCCACTTGTATTGCAACTCAGTTCCAAGAAGGCTAGCTCATCCTCCAACGCCTGTCTTTATATCCTTATCTTGAGTTGAAATAAGACACCAGGTAAGACCCAGTAAAACCTGCTGGTGACTTACGCATTTTTATGACAAAAAGTATGGGTTCGAAAAAACAGAAAAGAGTAGCAGAGGGGTGAAGATTACAAGCTATGTTACCCCGACACGTCAATCTTGGTCCCGCACCCGTGTCGGGTACGTATTGGGTGCGGATCCGCACCCAAACGGTAGGGACACAGCAAAAAATTCACTCGTGAGAGGAAAAAAAACGCACCTGAAATTTTGAAACGGAGGACGAATCAGGCGCTATTTAAGCCCAATAACCCAAGCCCACTTGAAATAACTTATCCTCTGAAGCGATTCTGCCTTTACCACCTTCGAACCCATCGACTGAAGCGACGACCTCATTCCTCGACGACGAATCCTGCTCCTCAACGACGAAATCAAAGCCTCAACGAAGCAATTTCAGCGCCTCGACGACAAATCCTGCTCCTCGAGCACGAAATCAACTCCTCGACGACGAAATCAAAGCCTCGATGAAGCAATTTCAGCGCCTCGATGACGAGAGAGAGAGAGAGAGAGAGAGAGAGAGAGAGAGAGAGAGAGAGAGAGAGAGAGAGCGCCTCGATGACGAGAGAGAGAGAGAGAGAGAGAGAGAGAGAGAGAGAGAGAGAGAGAGAGAGAGAGAAGATGGGGGTTTACTGTTTTGGGATGAGGGAGGGCTGAGGAGAATGAGAAATAGAGAGGGAGGGAGGAGACGGCTATAACACAGCTGGTGATTGAATTTCAAAGTGGGGCCCGCTCTTTCTTTCTTTCTTTTGAACAACTATAACACCGCAAGGTTTACCGGTTGACATTTGGCTTCCGGTTTTAGTTCAGCTGTGCTCTAAGTAGAGGATTGATCGAGAGTGGATTTTAGAGTAAATAAGTGTGAGGATATAATAAGATTGAGATTGACCAGGGATTAGTTGTTTGTTACTCTTTCGGATTATTTTCAATTTAAACATTTGCTCTATTTCATTATTCATCCATTAGTGGTAGTAAAGAATATAGTCATTTCAGCCATTGGATTTTGAAATAGATACTTATTTCGAGTTAATTGAGCTATATTTAGTTTCTTATTTATAATCTCCACTTTACATAATAAAAAATATGAAAATGTAATAGGAATTTAATTCAATATTGATCTAAAGTGAATTATTTTATATACATACAGTCGTGTCCCCGTACCTTACTTTTTACAAATTTGCTGTGTCCCGTACCCGTACCAGTATCTATGCAACATAGATTACAAGAGAAGCAGGATGAAGAATGCATAGCTTAATTCTTTATTGACTGAGATTTTGAAACTACTTGGAGATGAGATAACAATTGTCCGGAATTGTTTGGGAATGTAGAAATTGTAAAACCCCAATTTTAGGAAGAAATTTGCGTTCTTTTGGTTGTCTTATGTGATGTTTTAATATATTTGATGGTCAAACACTCTCATATTACATTGAAACCTGTCAGAGTTAATTCACTTATGTAAACTCATGTTCACGTTAGAGCAACTTGAATACCTTTACATGCTGTAGGGGAACTTTGCTAGACTCATATGAGAATGTGTCTTCTAATATTGGATGTTCAATGATGATTTGAATCCTAACATGAAAATCAAGCCCAATCAACATATTAGAATTTGTGCTTAAAGCACTTGATCGAACTCCTAGAACGATACTGCCACAGGATGCATGGAGAAATATCAAACATGAATTATGATAGCACAATATAGAGTTCATATTCTCGTCCACAGGATGTATGGATAAAAATCAAACATGAATTATGATAACGCACAATCCAGTTCATATTCTCGGCGACCGGATGCATATACAAATATCAAACAAGAGTTCAATCTTAGATTTGAGCTCAGAGAGTAAAACTCACAACAGAGTAAGTCTCCAAAAGAGAGAGAGAGAGAGAGAGAGAGAGAGAGAGAGAGAGAGAGAGAGAAAAAAAAAAGAAGCAACACTATAAATTAAAGATAGCGGCCAAAGGAAATGGATATGGGAGTGATATTGATCAACCTTATCCTTATGCAATGAACAGGTGATATTATCAGTCATAAATCTGTCTAAGGGTGGTTGTTCCATTGTAAGCATTTCATTCTAGTTATAGATGGCATGTTCCATTAGCAGAGAAAATAAAGAAGATTATACAACACAAAGGGCAAGCTATTTCTTATCTGCAGTGAGTCTTTGAGTTATATGAACTTATTAGCATGCTTCAAACTTTTTGTACTTAGCAAGCTGATTTGGTTTTCAAAATTTTTACCATAAAGAAATGAAAGATTACATTAGTTTGTACAGTTGCATATAAAAGGAAAGCATTCTCATGGTCGAAAGATTATACAAGTATTAAAGAAAATGAGAAGATGCAGTTCTTTTCACACAAGCTACACCTCAATAATATCTTAAAAGGAAGCATAACATATGACCTCATGGACAATTCACTTTGGACATTTGTTATGCCTCCTCTATCAGTGAATCAACCACTGTCATTGAGGGACTCCAAATAAATGGAATCTAAACCCGGATTAGTACGCGGACAATCATGAATTGGGTTAACAAATGGAGCTTGGAAAGCAAAGCATTTTGAGTTGAAGGAAGACGCGAAAAGGGGCACCAAAGAAACCACCCTAAAGCCCAATTATTGAAAGCCAACCTTCGGTCATAGAACATGAGGAGGCAGATGGAGTACAGATTAAGAATTTTCCTCAAAGATGTATGGAGGCATATGAATCACTCGTGGGTTTAGGGGTAAGAATGGATTTTTAGAGGCTTTTCATTTTTTCCAAGGATGCACACCACCATATGTTCTTTTCGCCAGTAACAACTGAGAAGAGGTCTGCATGGTCGAGTGAGCTTTGTGTGCGTGTGTGTGTATACGGAAATATGATTCTAAGGAGCTACCTTAAATTGAATCTAATGATGCACCTTGAAAATTACGTTATATGCAATCCCTTTAGTTATTCCACTTCGTTCATTTTGATCCATATTTTTTGGATGATGTATAAATAAAAAACTAGTCATGTTGGATTGTAGTTACCCATGCATCAGATGATTGTAAACTTAACGATTTTACGACAATACACCTAAAGAGACACTGAAAAATATGTGTTAGAAGTTTTGAAACATCCTGATTTTTGTTTTATGAATTTCTTTAGACATTTAAATCATAATGAATGGAGCGGATCGTCCATTAGCATAACCCAATCCATGCATGTCCTTAAATTCAATCTAAGATGGCTTCTTAGAATCATATTTCCCATATATATATATATATATATATATATATATATATATGGGAAAAGTGATTCTAAGGTGACACCTTAGATTCCCACCTAAGGACACGGCCTAAAATCACATCATTCCCTAATTGTTTTTTCCGATCCGCTCCGTTGAACTTGATCTACACGTTCTTAAACCTAAACACACCAATTTTGGGGTGACCCCGTCGTGTTTTGACCCTTCATCCACTCGCCGCAATTTTAACGGTTTCGAATGAATAGAACTTTTTGCACGGCTCAACGAAGGGTCAAAACACGACGGTTTCACCCAAAAATTGGTGTGTTTGGGTTTAATAATGTGTAGATCAAGTTCAACAGAGCAGATCGCAAAAAAACCATTAGGGAATGAATGCTGATTTTAGACCGGTCGCTTAGGGTGGGAATCTAAGGTGTCACCTAGAATCACTTTTCCATATATAATATATTATATATATATATATAATATATATATATTACACTATTATATATATATATATATATATTATATAATATATATAGTGAAACTTGTGTCAACTTAAGGATGATAGGGAATATTGTGTCCTACAAAGAACTTTTACCCACTGCATATTGGCTAGGATCCATGTATTATATAAAAAGATATTTATATTAATAAGATGTGTGGCTACAAACTTTGGTGGACATCACTTACAGTTGATAGAGAGTCCTTGCACTCTCTCTCTCTCTCTCTATATATATATTATATATATTTATAATAATATAATATATATATATATATATATATATATATACTATATAGAAGAGGAGAGAGAGAGATATGAGTATCTTGGTTAACAAAGGCAAAAAAATATTGCGTTTGGTAAGTGAGTGTCTACCATTCTCATCCACTCCCACACCGCATGTGAATGTGATCCCCCATTTGAATAGAGTGGATAGAGAATGATACACCCTGCACTAACGCAAGCACAAAAATTTTGCTTAGGTACAAAGCATACCCATATTTTGCATATATATAATATAATATATATATATATATATATATATATATATATTTACTTTGATCTATGTGTCCTACCAATGTTCCCAACTTGTGTGTGTATGTAGAATAAGAACATTTCAACCATCTAATCTGACCAAACCAAGTTACTTAATACATGTAGTTTTAAAGTAACTGTAATTTTTTCATAAATTAAATGACAAAAGTCAAGCCAAATCAAATTTCAAACATAACTATAGACTAAAATACCAAATTGGCCTAAATAGTGCCACCTCTTTACCGCTTTGGCCTAAAAAGTGATACTGGCGACAATTTGACCTAAAAAGTAACAAATCAGCGACAAATAAACCTTTCCGGTCACTAGAAGCGATTTTTAAGCAAGAAAATTAAGAGATTTTTATATATATCCTTCAATTTTCTCATATTTTCTGATTTAACCCCTCAAGTTTTAAAATTTGTAAAAAGAACTCTCTCCTTCCCTTCCCACCATCTTTTTCCTCATCCTTGTCATCTCTTTCATTCTTTTTTTTTTCCCATCGCCACCATTCTCTTTCCTTTTTTCACATATCCTCGCTCTTAAGGAGATTGATATTTTAATGTTTAGAGGATGAAAGCGGAGTAGGAACCAAGGAGGAATAGAGAGTGCAAGAAAAGAAGAGATGAATGAGGTTAAGATTTGTGGTGGAACATTTAATTTTGGGTGTTGGGAATGGGTGAAGCAAGTAGGAAGAGAGTGAGAGAAAGGAGGAGGAGAAGAGGAGGAGATGTTGAGGATTTGGAGTAAAAGAGATTGGAGGAGATAAAAGAAGTTAGAAAGTAAGTGTTGATCCATGAAATAAGGTAGGAGAGGGAGTGAGGAAGGTTAGGGTGTAGGAAGAATAAGGGAATAGAGAAGATGGTGGGAAGGAGAAAGAAGATAGTGAAAAAACATGATGTTTTTTTCACAAATTTCAAAAATTTAAGGAAAGAAGATGGGTTATTTTAAAAATCATAAGAGATTGAGTGGTCTATATATAATTTTTTTTTAATTTTTTGCTAAAAAATAACTCCAGCGATCAGAAAAGCCTATTTATCGTCGATTTGTCACTTTTTATGTTAAATTGTCGCTGGTGTCACTTTTTAGGCCAAAGTGGTAAAGGGATGCCACTACTTAGGCCAATATGTTATTTTAGCCCATAATTATAGGATTACATCCAGCGAATCAGACTAACGCACAGTATATTATTTACGTGATTCATATGCAAGTTTTGTTGCTTAAAATTTCTGAAAATTGATGCAGAAATTTAGCAATTGTCTAATTATTTCCATACCAATAGGCTATGTAACATAATCGAGATTGCTAAATATAATTCATTCAGTTCAGTCCTAAAAATCCTCAAGCAATTCCAGTACCATTTTTAAATTTCATTGCAATTCAGCACTGATCTACATCAATTAAAAGCATTATTCAAAAATTTGACTTGGATTAGATGGAAACCTGTGAGGGATTGGAAGCAGTGGAGATCGAAATTATCAGCCTGGAGGAGCTCAACCCCATTGCATCCGACGACAGGCGACAGCTGCTGCGAGATAGCGTGCATCGAATGCCACAAGCTCGCAAGCCTCAAGCTATCGTTTGTGTCCATTCTCCCCGTCGATCCGTAATCCTTTCAAATTTTGGTCCAATCTCTTTCAAATTTATTTACAATTAGCAAAGAAAAAAGAGGGGGTAATTAATTACCTTGTAAAATATGAGGCCACCGGATTTGTTGATGATGAAGAGACTGTAGATCGCCGCCATGATCTCGTGTCTCCTGCCATCAACAAGGAGAAAAAAATTAGAACAATCAATTGTTGTATATCATTGAGGCATTTTGAGAATCTAGGGTTTATGAATTTTTTTTCAAATTACTAATTTTAGGGTTTTGACTGACTGATTGCCCCAGGGAAGACGACGTTACACTGAGTATTTGTTCCCAGTCCCCTCACAAAAGTAAAAGGTTTTATTTCAGCACATGCGCTAATTTCACCATTTTGCAGATAAGTGCTTCGTATAGATGTTTTTGGCACTGCATATCCAAATGGTTTCTTACTTTCTTTCTTCTTGCAAATTATGGTTTTGGGGTTTATTCAATAGATCAAAATTTGTAGTATCACAAACTTTAATTTAACAATATATGTAAAAGGATATTAAGGACATAAAACAGTTGATTATTAACTAACAAGAAAAGAAGTTTTAATCTTCGAAAAGATTTAGTTCATTTGATTACAGTTAACTATAAGTCATCGATTCTCTCGTCAACTACTATAGTAAATTTGATGGTCCTAGTTTTATGAAAAGGTTCCCCAGTTCATCCATTTTATTTCTTGATTATTTCTATTCCATGTGATATGTGATGGTACAATATGTTTTCAAATTATATTTGAAAAGAGTGGCATCGCACACATACGGAACATGGAGCATAATAATTATGCATGCTTACATATAAAAATTACAGTCACTAATAGATTCCACATCTATTCTTCTATACAAATGGGAGGTTACAAGAATTATTGTTTATGCTACAATAATTCTCTCTCCTCTCCCAATGTATCCACATCAGCTCAAATTTCAAAATTCAAAACACCCCTATAATTCTCTCTTCTCACCCCGCTCCTCATCTCCAGACTCCAATCGATTCCTCGGCCTCCTTTCCTCCTCCCCTCCCTCCGCCACCTTCTCCGGCGGTGGCGGCGGCTTCGAGTTCGACGAACCGACACAGATCCAAATCCTAACCCTAGCCCAAGCCCAAGCCTAACTCCAAGCACCTCTATCCACCACCATTCCCCTCTAAACCCTAGCCCTAACTCCAGCCCAAGCAGATCGCAGCGGATTCCTTCGACGATCGAGGAGCATCTTGAAGTCGATCAAAGAGGAATGCCCTTAGGAGAATCTTCCCAAGCATCTCCAGTCCACACTCTCCAACAAGGACGAGTGGCATCGGAGGTAAATTTCTAAGCTCAAATTCTAAAAAGTAGCAGCGGATTCCGATCGTCGATGAGATCACCACCGTCTCCGAGAAGGTCGACGGCGTGGATCCAATCCTCCCGCGCATCCAAGCCCTAAAATTAGTAACCCCCATTCTCTAAACCCTAATTTGCTCCTTTCTAATTTTCCTTTTTTGAATTTTTTATTAAATTTTTTTTGGCAAACGGAACCGATACTGAAATCGCTGCCTCAAACTAAGGGCAGCTTGACTGATATCTTAGTTGCCAGAAAGCCCTCGATTTCATCCTCTGCTCCTTCAATTTTAGATAAATGATTTATAAATTTACCATCTTTGTTTATTCAGTGAAGCGCCCAATTTTGTTTTGTTGATGAAGCCCTAATATTGTTCACTGTATCTATTGAAGTAGACAAGAAAGGTTAAATTGCAGATAATCCCTCATCTAGGCCTTCACTTGGACTTACGATTCCTAAATTCTCATTTTTAGAAGGATAAATTGCAGAAAATAGTTGAAAGGTAATAATTGTTAATGAAGTTCTAGATATGAGGGGTTATGTGCAATTTAACCTATACAAATTTTGAGTAAGCAAAGCTAATAGGTAAATATGGCTACAAGCGAACTTTGCGTTGTTTACAAAAAAAAGGTCTATTGAAATGCATTTTGATTTTTTGTGTGCTTACAAGAATAATAAGAAGAAAGGTAACATCTTTAGACAATAAAAGAATTCACAAATTTGTGCTGTAATAATTTACAAGTAATAATTATATACTTGCCGAAAAGGAATCTATCTGAGATGTTTTACTGCCCAACTCTAATCTGACTAACATAGTTTTGCAAACATCCAAAACTACTAATCGGCAGTGGATTATTTTCTGCAGTTTATAAATACAAGACGCGCTGAAAGTTCAAATCATAAATTTTGTGTGACAACATGGAAAGTATAATGATGATCACATTTTATTACAATTTTATGCCCTCATTATCTATTCTATATGAATAAATATACCACTAATAACTGTTTTTATCTTTAATTACAGGTTAATAAAGAATAAATCTCAACTTCCCATCTCTCAACAAAAAAGCCCATTGATTAAATGAAGAAATGATTCAAGAAGCCAAAGTGAAATTTTCGAATTTGTGAAGGCCCAAAGCAAAAAGATTACACAAGGGAAACAAGACCGGATGCAAACAAGATTGGATTTTTATGCAAAGTTGGAATGAAAGGGACTTAAATGCAAAAATGTGGATTTTAATGCTTTGAAGACCGAACTTTGGAGTTGTTTGCTGGACTTAGAGAATTTTCACAAGGGAAATGTGGACTTGATGGGCCGGATTTGTTTTGGCTTGGAAATCATGTGGATTTGTTTTGACTTGCTGCATCTTTTTGAGCCTTGGATGAAAATCAAATGAATATTGCTACATATGGGCCGGTTGTTTGAATTTGCTGCGGATTTGTTTTGAAAAATCAAACGAAAACTCCATAGTTGCTGCAAGTGGGCCGGACATGACAAATGAAGCATTTGGGCTTCATTTATTTCTTTGCTGCAGATCATTTTAAGAGGCCGGACTTGTTAATTTTGAATGGAGGCTGGACATGTTAAAAATCAAGTGGACTCTGCTGCAGAAAATCTCCAAATTGGTTGGGCCACGATTTATCAAATGAAGCTCCACGAATTTAAGTTTGAAAATCAAATCAATTGGGCCTCTTATGGTAGAGAAGAACAAAAAGCAAATTCAATGGTGGAGATTGTGGCTTGGGGCTCAAGACAAATCCAATGGCTCATATTCATTGAAGATTACTATAAATAGGGGTAGAGAGTGAGAGGTTAAGGGTGTGAAAATTTTGTAAACTCCTTTTGGAGAGGAGGGCTACTCTTAATTGAGAAGGCCTTCCAAAAATTGTAACTTTAGTTGCAATTAATAAAAATAATTTTTTCCTCTTTAAATTTGTTCTTTCTCCTCTTTGTTGAATGATGAGGATGGAGATGAAGAGCAATTTGAAGGTTTGCATTTCTTTTCTCTTTTATTTCTTTTTAGTAATTTCTTTATTATTGCTTATTAGTTAGATTTAAATTCATGCTTGTAGTGTAGATTTATTTTCTTGTCTTTTTTATTTCTTTTTGCACTTTAATTTGTAGAATAGATTTATTTTCTCGCATTTAATTTTTGTAATATATTTTGTAGTGTAGATTTTTATTTTCTTTGTAGTTAGATTTATTTCTTGTTCATAGTTTAGATTTTTCTTTTCTTTTTATTTTTGTAATTAGTTCTTTTTCTTGTTTTTATTTCTTAAAGATGTGAATTTAATTCTTGTAGGAAGTTTAGAATTATATGAAACTAGTCTAATTTCCTTTATATTGTATGAATTATTCTCTTGCACTTAAAATGTTCATGTTTAGGATAATCAACTAGAGAACTAATCGGTAGAAGAAGAATTTGATAATCTATGCTTATCTTAAATGGTTTGATAGGTTATGCTTATGAATTCTAGGATTATTATCATGTTGTTGTTCTTATCATGAATAGTAATTTTAACTTAGATGATAATTTGATAGGTTACACTTTCCTTAAATGGTTTGATAATCTATGCTTAATAAATCTAAGTTGAAATATGATAAAAAGAGAATAGTTTATATTTTGTAATTGAAATTGGTTAGTGGATTATATTCTAGATTTCTTACCTCTTTTGAATCCTTCATCTTAACTTTCTTAAATTTTCTTTTCATTTTTGGTTTTATTTCTTGATTTTATTAATTCATATTTCTTGCCTTGTGATTTCATTTATTCTTTAATTCTTCCTTCTCTCCTCTAAAATTCAATTTATTATCTTTTGCATATATTCATAACAATCACTCAACAAAATCACATTCACACTTATTCTTTATTCCTAATTGTCACGCACAAAATATAAGAACCAAGTTTAATAATCTCTTAAAATCACCTTCTTCGTGGGATCGATATCTTTTTATACTATAACTTGATAAATTGTGCACTTGCAATTTTGGTACATAATTATGCCGCATCAAGTTTTTGGCGCCGTTGCCGGGGAAGGTGCTAAAATAGGATTTTATTAACTTGATTCTTTAACTTGTGTATTTTTCTTGTGAAGGAACCGCTTGGAGCTTGAAAATCTTGGATTGAAGATCAAGAATTTGGAGCATTGCTTTCGGGTAAGTCTTCTTTCTAGTTTTCAATTCCACCCTCTTTAGCTAGCTTCACAATTAGAGACAATTAGGATTTAAAAAAAAGATTTTATTTTTGTTGACCATAATAAAATCCATCTTTCACTTAGATATTAACTAACAAGATAATAAACTCAAACAATTTTCCCCTTCTCACTTTTGATTATTGTTGACCATAATTAAAAAATATAAAGATTTTCTTTTTATCATCCCTTTTAGTCGCTTTTAATTTCTAGGGTTGCATTTCATATAGTGTAGGAATTCACCAAAGTGATTGTAGCACTTGATTTGGCACACACTTAAATCATTCTTAAGGGCAAAACCCCAATCAAGATAAGGTAAGGGATTTCATCACCCTTTCCTTAGCCCACAAATCACTAATTCCTCACTTCACAAATCCAAGCCTTCTAAAACTCATTAGACGTTGGCCCCTAAGGATTCGAGCTCAATAAGGAACAAGAAATCCTTAAGTGAACGGTTTAAGTTTTCTCAGAATAGTTGGTGTCTAAGGCAAGGTTTAGGGGTTGCGTAAAGCGCTCCGCAAGGAAAGAGGTACTTAATTGATCTTTGATCACCCTCTAGTACTATCCTTACCTGGCTAACTACCTGGGTAAAACTTTGATCTTTTCACTGTAGGAATTTTT